TTTTTTTTTTTTTGTGAAAATTAGGTTAGGAATGTAATTACATCGTGGAATTATCTATTTCTCTATGTTTTGCATTGAATTGAAACTCGATGTTTAGAAGAGTAACCAAAAACCTTGGGTTTGGTTGTTGGGGAGTGGATGAGTTTGGATGAGTTTGGTTCATAATTCAGTTTTACAAAATTCAAGCTTTAGTTTGGTCGATGAGTGGATTGTTCGATTTAATTTGATGAATGCTGAAAATTAAATTAACTAAAATGTATTTAGGCAAATTCATGATGATGGATGGATATATGGGATTAATGGCAAGAAGCAGCAGGTAAATTAAAAGCCCTTTTAACTTCCCACTAAATTACTCCTTAATTTCCGTATGAATTTAAATTTTCATTAAATTATCAAAGATTTTTTTTCTTCAAAAAATAGTATGATCCGATTTTATCCGGAACAGCACCAAACACAGTATAATTTAATCATACTATTTATTCGGAACATCACCAAACGCCTTATAATATTATAGATAAACAGTCAGTACTCTCCAAAACATATTAATACTATATGATAGAAATTAGTCAATACAGTCTGACTTACGAAACATCTTAATACTATCCGATACAAATTAATCAGTAAGGCCTTCACTATAGAACGACTCGACTCTAAACATGTCCAAATTATCAAAGATTTTTTTTCTTCAAAAAATAGTATGATCCGATGTTATCCGGAACAGCACCAAACACAGTATAATTTAATCATACTATTTATTCGGAACATTACCAAACGCCTTATAATATTATAGATAAATAGTCAGTACTCTCCAAAACATATTAATACTATCTGATAGAAATTAATCAATACAGTCCGACTTACGAAACATCTTAATACTATCCGATACAAATTAGTCAGTAAGGCCCTCACTATAGAACGACTCGACTATAAACATGTCCAACCAATAAGTTGGGTTATATTTTGCCTCGTGTTTTGGCTGGACTGGATAGGCCATGATATTGATTTTATTTTTCATACAAATAATTAATCGATAGCTTTTTTAATTAACTTCATATGTGACCGCGTGTAAGGCCATAATATTGTGACTGTTGGTATCAATGGCCACAATTTGAGTACGCTTTTAGTTTTTAAATTATTTAAATATGAGCTTATACAGTTGCTTTCCCATCCAACCACCAATATTTTTTCTCACCATTTTCAACGCTAAAAATACAGATCCAAAGGTCCAAAATCAAATCTAAAGGTAAAAATAATTTAAATAATTATTCATAATCAGATCCAACTTCAAAACTCAAGATTTATTGCACACACAAAAAACAGAGATAGAATTATGTTTGTGAAATTTTCAATTTTTGTAGGCTAAAATATTTGAAAAAATAAATCATGAAATAATAAACAAAAATTAAATCAAGAAAACTTGGACGTAAACTATTATGATACAATTGTGGACTCAAATTTTAAGTTTATATGGTTGGAGGAAAAAACAATTTGACTATAGGCAATACGTAAATAATTATATTTTGAGGGAAAATTTGAGTTGGAGATGGTCTAATGAGGCCATCTCCAACCTTGCAGGCCAAATGTCAAATTTTGACATTTCGGCCTCCAACTTTATATCCGAACGGGCTAAATTACCAATTCAGGCAAAACCCAGTGAAATACCGGTCCATTTATTGTCTAGACTGGAATTGTCGTGGGGCCAAGTCCAAGCCAACTTGCAGCCATGAGAAGGAATAGAAGAGGTGGGCCAAGGATGTCAGCCACATGAAGGAAAGCCGTGGGACGCGTGTCGCTTGCTGGGAATAAGTCGTTGCCATCCAACAGCTGCTGTTCAAATTGGTTGATTTCAATTTGATCCAACAACTAAAATTAAAATCTAACAACCATGAGATGTGGTGTGGTGGTAGCTCACCTCATTCCTTAACCATGAGATTAGGGGTTCGATCCCCGTCCATGGGAATGGAGCGCATTTTGTGGCCAGCCATTTATCTCCATTGGGAGAGCTCCCGCGGCGAAAGGGATTAGTCACTACTGTCGGCGGTGGATATCCTTGGGTCTCACCTAAAATAAAAAAATAAAAAATTAAAATTAAAATCTAACAGTTAAAATAAATCAATAAAATATTATAAATAAGATCTAACCCCAAAACACATTCCAAAATCTATAAATATACATCCATTTGTTAAACAACTTTATTTTTAAGTGAAATTATATTGTGTTTTAGAATTTAGATTTTTTAAGGTTATAATGTTCATAAAATTAAGTCACGAATGTTTTTTTATATATATATTAACGGATAAAAAAATTAGGGATTTATTTGAAAATGATCTAAAGTAATAAATAGTCCGAAATAAAATATTTGGGATTTATTTATAGACCCAAAAAATAATAATAATAATAACTTAGGATTCAAATGGGCCTGAATTTCAATCATTTTATCTTGAGTGTACTTTTTTGGGTCAATTTATCAAGTTCTTTTGAGTATAATATACTCAAGAAGAGAGATTCAAACTGGAGAGCACGCTCTTAACTGGAAATGTTTTTGCATCTTATACATGCATGGGATATAATAGGGTTAAGAGAAATAGATGAGGTACGTATGACAGATTGAAACCTGAAGTAGGACCATTTGTTAAGGTATATCATATATACAATTAGCAAACTATCCTTGACTCATTCAACTACAACACATTGAATAACATTTCAACAGCATTGACAGTGGGTTCTTCCCCTTCCATCCCATGCAGACTGCCATATACATCAGGAAAGCTTTGCAAAATTAGTCCTCAGGCTATCCCAAGCTGACTGCCGCTGAGTTACTAACTCGTTCGCTGCCCGTGTCATTCCCTCCATGGCAGACGCTTGTGCTAAGTCTGAGACTAATCCATCTCTCACAGTAGTAACTTGTGTATCAATGGTATCCAAAACCTCATGAGTCTTCTCCCTATCACTCTCAGCCGTGGCTATACAAGCTTCCAAATTCTTTATTTGGGACTCCAACTCTTTGATCATGGCCTTAAGGTTGGCAATTTCTCATCCGTGGCAATAATTTCTTTCTTCGCCTCAGCATACTTTGAAGCTTGTTGCAGGAGCACAAACTTTTTCTGAGTAATTGAGGCTGATAGGTTTGACGCCACCTTCAACTTATGTTGAGCTTGGAGGAAAGCAGAGGTTTCCTCTGAAAGATTAACCCCGAATGATGAAAGGTCCTTCAACTCTGATGGGGATGGATGGTATGCTAGAAATATGGCTGAGTAAGTGAGAAACTCCTTTTGCACTTGATGATCAGCTAAAGCTTCTAACCCACGATCAAAGATCTTCCGGAGTCCCTCCTTGGCCAATGCAAGCTCATCGTGCCCAACCAACGACTGCGCATCTGCTGGACGAAAGTCAAAGCTAGGAACTGGCTTAGATATAAGATCAGTAACAGAAACCATCAGCGCATCAATGTTCTCTAGCTTGGATGAGGAGGATAGATCCTCCTAAACATGCGAAAGTATATGAGTGATTGGAATGTGGACGATAAAAATAACAAAAGCAAAGAAGCTCACATTGAAGGGTGAAAGAAAGGATCGCAATTGTGGGATCACTCGAGCATCTAACAATGCTTCGCAGCGAAAACACCAAATTCTTTGATGATATCTGTTTCAAAATGTAAGCAAAAACCCCAAGAAATATTCGTAACAATCACTCTAGAAAAGTAAAGAAAATGAAAGATTTAAGGCTACAATTTGTAGAAAGCACTGCTAATGGTACCTGCAGCTGGCAGCAAGACAATGATTTGTCTGCTCATAATGCTCAACGAAGTGCCTGTTCACAATTCGACTACAGAAGACGTCCTTGCAGGACAAACAAACCCAAGTCTCCTTGAGGTCCTGGCATCTAGTATATCAAAACTGGTCCACATATTAGAAATACAAGTTATGGTTCAAGATTCATACACACTCAGGGTTTGATAGTGCAAAAGCGGTAGATGCCAGAAGAACTTTGAAATCTTCTTTCATCGAAGTTGTCTTTCTAGTTGATGGCTCTTGCCCTTTGGGGAGATATATATTATATGTGAAACTAAGGTCACCTAGATAGTAAATTGTTACAAAAGAAAGCTAATGATTCAAAATAGGGTTGCGTTTATTTTCCTTTTCTATTTCAACTAGGCAATCACTTGGGTCTTAGGTCTAGCAGATAATTAAAGTTCATTCAACATGCACACTTTTCTACTCCATTTGTGTATCTTTGTTTTCCCAGATGCCAAACAATCAATCATTCCCAACTCCCAAGCAAAGCAACCAAAAACAATTCAGAGTCTAAAGCAATCATTTGAAGAAGTAACACGAACCTCTTGCATGGAGTATCAGATTTGGGAATGCGGGTGAGATCAGAGGACAGAAGAGCCAGGTGATCGCACCATGTCTTTGCCTTCACCAAACAAACCATTTAGATTTAGTCATAAGCTTTCAGAAAAAGCAACTAGTTACTAAGCGCAGATAGATTACCTTAGGAGGAGAAAAGCCAGCTTCCTTTGCCATTGAGGAGTTGCTGCTTTGCGTCTTTGGGTTTCTAAACCGCTGTTTATGTATGTCACTTGGACACATCGATCAAACTAAAAGCTGCATCGCCTTTTTCACTTTGATGTCCTCCTCTCCTTTATAGCTCTCTCTTCTCTTTATGAAACTTCTAGGCTAAGGCATCTCCAACCATATGGGCTGAAACCCAAATTTTAAGGGCTAGTTCGGTAACATTTTAAGGGGTTGTTTTCATTTTCAAAGAACAAAAATGAGGCAAAAACACGTTTGGTGGCCCAAAAACAGAAAACACTGAGAATGTTTTCATAAAATGAAAACAAGTTTATGGAAAATGTTTTCATAAAGTTGTTTTCATTCTCATGGAAAACGTTTTCATAAAAATAACTCACATATTATTATTTCAAATTGTACTACCAGACACGTTTTCATTGTTTTTGTTTTCTGAAGATGTTTTCTAATTAATCTTCCAGACGCATTTTCATTTCCTGAAAATGCAAATTCATTTTCTTGTTTTCATTCTCTGAAAATATTCTAAGAAAACATTCTCCGAAAACGTTACCGGACGGGCCCTAATTTTTTTCCGGAATTACATCTCCAACCCATGGGGCTAAGAACCAAAAATTCTAGGCAAAACGACACTTGTAGTCCCTGTGGTTTCAATTTCATCACTTTTGCCACTGGGGTTTAAGAGTCTAAGCAATTCGAGGACACTTCTCAATTTCCATCAGATTTCTTTTAGTTCTGTTAGGGCATCAGTTGTTGCCGTTAGTTATTGAATAAGTGGAGGGGCATTAAGGTAAAATCCCCTGCAATTCATAGCTTGGATAGTAGAAGTACCAGGATCGACAAACGCGCCCTTGTCTGGGTTGGTCGCGTGTGGGTTGCTGTTCGACTAGCCGGAAAATTGCCGGAGAGTCCCCGCCGGCGAGGTTGCGGTTTCTTCGACGACGTGTCGATCGGGAATAACAGCGATGATGAGTCTGGGAGCGATGACTTCGAGAATGATGAGGCTCAAAGCTCGTATAAAGGTCCTTTGGATATGATGAACGCGTTGGAGGAGGTTTTACCTATGAGGTTAGCAGCAGTTCAACTAGATTCATTTAATTTCTTATTTGCAATTTTGTTTTAGTTTTTTAATCAATCTATACGTTTGTCTTGATTGGTTAAATCAAAAGGTCAAATTCATGTCGTTTTAGAGGATGTTTCTAATTTGGGTTCGTTGTAAATTGTAATTGTTTGCATAATATGAGCTGGTTTTTTTTTTCTTGTTTGATCTGGGCGTTTTGACTGATGAAATGGGTCTTTTTATGCAGGAGAGGGATCTCAAAATTCTATAACTACAAATCCAAGTCCTTCACGAGTCTGGCAGAGGCTTCATCTTCTTCCAACATCAAAGACCTTGCAAAACCAGACAATGCATATGCCAGAAAACGCAGGAACCTACTTGCCTCCAATCACATGTGGGAGATGAACCGAAGCTTTCCACTGAGAAGCAATGGGGGCAGGATTTCAAAGAGACCCATCTCAACGAGTCGAAGCACATTGGCTTTGGCTATTAAATTGAGCAGCTGTGCTGAATTACAGGGGATTTTACCTTAATGCCCCTCCACTTATTCAATAACTAACGGCAACGACTGATGCCCTAATAGAGCTAAAAGGAATCTGACGGAAATTGAGAAGTGTCCTCGAATTGCTTGGACTCTTAGTGCCCGTTTGGCATTGCTTATTTGGGGAGATAAGTGATTTTTTAAAAATTTTGAGAAGTCCAGCCCGTTTGGTAAACTGTGAGGAAATCACTTATTGTTAAAAATTGCTGTAAGAGAAAGCTATAAGGGAAAGCAGCTAATGAGGTGCTTTCATTTTCTGATTATGCATGAATCAGTTTTGAAGAGGCGCTGGGTTTAATGATTATGCCACAATCATTTTCTGATTATGAGGAAATCAATACCAACAACACTTTTAACAAAAAATTTACCAAACGCCAAACTGCTTTCCCTCACAGCTGATTTCTCTCACAGCAAATCTGACAGCGATTATTTTCACAGCACAGCAATGCCAAACTGGGCCTTAAACCATAGTGGCAAAAGTGACAAAATTGAAATCATAGGGACCTTAGTGGTAAAAGTTGGAAACCACAGGGACTACAAGTGTCGTTTTGCCAAAATTCTATAATGAGGATCTTATCTAAGGCTCTTAAATGAGGCACCATTTCTTAATCGTTTGATCAAATTTATTAGTCATTATTAAATCAAATTAATTAGCATAATCCAACGGTTAAAACCCTAACTATAGAATGACTCGGCTATAAACATGCCCAAACAATAAGTTGGGCTATATTCTGCCTCGTGTTTTTGGGCTCTATAGGCCATGATAATGACTTTATTTTTCATACAAATAATGAATTGATAGCTTTCTTAATTCACTTGATATGGGGCCGCGTGTGTAAGGCCATGATATTGTGGCCGTTAAATATGAGCTTATACAGTTGCTTTCCCATCCTACGAATAATATTTTTTCTCACCATTTTCAACGCTAAAAATACAGATCCAAAGGTCCAAAATCAAATCTAAAGATAAATATAATTTAAATAATTATTCATAATCACATCCAACTCCAAAACTCAAGATTTATTGCACACTAAAATAATAAAAAAACAGAGATAAAATTATGTTTGTGAAATTTTCAATTTTTTAAGGCTGAAATATTAGGAAAAATAAATCATGGAGTAATAAATAAAAATTAAATCAAGAAAACTTGGACTTAAACTATTCTGAAATAATTTAATAAAGTTATGGACTCAATTTTTTTTTTTTTTTTTTGGTCTGAACCATGAGGTGGTCCTGGATGGGCCTCAACCATGGGTGGCACCTTTAAGCCTTAACCACAACCCAGACTAATCCCCACTCACACCGGGTCGGCCCGTAAGGGGTAAAGTGTTGGCCAAAGTGGTGACTCCGTATGAGAGCAGGGATCGAACCCCTGACCTCTCTTAAGGAATGAGAGTGCCGAACCACTCACACCAACCACCTTGGTTAAAGTTATGGACTCAAATTTTGAGTCTGCATAATTGGAGGAAAAAAACTATTTAAATTTAGACAATACATGAATAGTTGTATTTTGAAGAGGGGAAATTTGGGTTGTAGATGATCTAATAAAGTAATAAATAGTCTGAAATAAAATATTTGGGATTTATTTACAGACCCAAAAAACATTAATAAAAAGAACTTAGGATTCAAATGGGCCTGGATTTCAATCATTTTATCTGGAGTGTACTTTTTTGGGTCAATTTATCAAGTTCTTTTGAATACAAGAGAGATTCAAACTTGAGAGCATGCTCTTAACTGGAAATTTTTTTGCATCTTATATATGCATGGGATATAATAATAGGGTTAAGAAAAATAGATGAGGTACGGATGACAAATTGAAACCCGAAGCAGGACCATTTGTTAAGGGATATCATATATACAATTAGCAAACTATCCTTGACTCATTCAACTACAACACATTGAATAATACCAAATAGTTCAAAGGACTTGATAAATACAATCCATGATTGTCCAAATTAGCCAATGAACTTTAATATTATGTCATTTGGATAACAGACATTTGCAGAACTTATGCCTCGGTATAGAGTACAGTGGATCATGAATGATGTTTAGTATCAAGTTCTACGGAATATGATACCTGGCAATCGAATGGTATGAATGTCTCTTTAAAGAACCTCATCTGATAAGAAAAACTCCAACATGCGTACTGTGATTTATTTTATCACCTCCAGTTATAAGCTCTCAGTTATTTTACAGCTATTAAACCGTTCGCAATGATGGGGCCTCTCCAGATTTCAGTATGTAGGCAGTTTCATACACACCCTGCAACTGTGGGATTACTGAGCATCTAAACACGCATCACAGGAGAAACACCAAACTGATAGATCACTGATTGAAATAAGAAAGTGAGAAAAACAAATTTGGAAACAATCACTGTAGAACAGTAAATAAAAAACGACTTCAAGATGGAAAAATTTGTGGAAAGCATTGATAATTGTACCTGTAGCTGAGAGCAAGACAATGCTTTGTCTGCTGATAATGCTGAACCATGTGCTTGTTCACAAAAGAGCTATACTGGACGTCCATACAGCAGAAACATAACCAACTGGGGTGCTGGCATCTAATTTATGAGGCACTCAGACTCAGATCAACGTAAAACGGGAACAGAATCAGAAGGAGCAACCTTTGGATTCTCTTTACCATAACAATCTGAAGATTCTATTTGATGTAAGAGAAAGCCATTCGAATCCTTTTATCGTCAATGAAAGGAACAAGTTTACTTTCATTTCCTATTGCAACTTACATACAAGCAACAACCGGCAAAAAACCAAGTGTGCTACGAGTTTATTTAAGTAATGACATGGTCTTGGCTTCATGTAGATGAATTGAAGTTTATTTAACTTGCAAATCTACAAATTAACTAGAACAACCTCATGCTGTAGAATGCGGATCCTAGTCCTCAGAGGCCTGCAACAATGCTACATATATTTTCCTATGTTTTCCTTCTAAAGTCTTTCTGGGGAAGGGGGAGATTGTTAAGATTGGTTGAAGAATAAGGATGTACTTAGGAAGATGCTACGCACATTGTTGGATTAGGTGGCTTTAAAGTATTTAAACAGCAGTCACTTCCTACGGTCCTATACTGATACTATTTGAGACGCAAACACAGATTTTTTGCAGAAGGAATCATATCTATTGCATGACAAAGGATACAGAAATCTTATACCAATTGTAGCAGTCATGTAAGCAACCTCAACTTATTCATATGTCTGAGAAACAGCATACAAATTAAGAAAGCAAATGCTTAATAGACAGTCATAGGTGGGAGGGGAAATTAAACCAAGAAAGTAACCAGAGATTGGTCAATTAAACGTATGGTGAGAAAAGATGGACCCTTTGTGATCAAGCCGAGGAATGAAGACATTCAATTTTTGGCCAGGTAAATATACAACAGAATCTCAGTGCTTACAATGAGATTGTTAAAAGTACACACCAACCAAACTTCTTTATCTTTTAACTTGGTTAAATTTACAGACCACCAGTCTTTTAAAAACTTTCAGTTCCCATAGTCGCAAAATTAAATCAGAAATACCAAGTTATGGTTCACATTCACGCAGTCAGGCTTTGATAATGTAAAAATGGTAGATGCCAGAATAACTTTGAAATCTTCTTTCATCGAAGTTGTCTTTCTAGTTGATGGCTCTAGCCCTTTGGGGATATATATGTGTATATATATATATATATATGCAATTAAGGTCACCTAGAGAGTAAATTATTACAAAAAGAAAGCTACTTTCCATAATAGGGTACAGTTTCTTTTCCTTTTCTATTACAACTAGGCAATGACTTGGGTCTTGGCTCTAGCAGATAATTAAAGCTCATTTAACATACACACTTTTCTACTCCATTTCTTTTGTGTATCTTTGTTTTCCCAAATGCCAAACAATAAATCATTCTCAACTCACAAACAAAGCAAACAGGGTTTTTAAATAAATTATAAAAAAAAACACAAAAACAACAACAACAATTCAGTGTATAAAACAACCATTGAAAAAGTAACATGAACCTCTTGCATGGAGTATCAGAGCTGGGAATGCCGGTGAGATCAGAGGTAAAAAAAACCAGGTGATCACACCATGTCTGTGCCTTCACCAAACAAACCTTTAGATTTGGTCATAAGCTCTCAGAAAAAGCTATATATGTTTTAGCATCAACCATTAAACTTAATCTATTTCAACTAGTTAAAGATTACCTTAGGAGAAGAAACAGAGTCAGAGCTAGCTTCCATTGCCATTGAGGAGTTGCTATTGACTTTGAACAAAATTTACAATACAAAGTTTGCGAAGAAAAAATAACCCGCAAGATTATAAAGTCAGTAACTGATTAGATTGTAGTTCAAAAGCAGTACCCTTATTTACAAAATCACCTCACTAGGGTACTTGATGTACAGTAAGTTACATATCCTATTTTGAACCTCAAAACCAAAGAAGGAAAGGCTATACGAAACCTCTCTGCTTTCCCAACCATAACCTATATTCTCCAACCAAATGTAAGCAAATCCGGGGGAAGAGAAGCAGGATCGAGCTCCCAACAGTCTTTCAAAAGGTTTGGAGCCTCATCACCAGAGAGCTTCCTAGCAGGAATTTGGTGTGAAACCAACCTAACGTCATTCTTTTCTAGCCATCTAATAGCATGGGACCCAATCTCCCTCCTCTTAAATACTGTCTTGAACCCATCAACCTTCTCAAGATACCCCATACTCAAACCGTGCATCTCACTATAAGTTGTCAGAAACACAACTATGTCATAACATCGCTTATCTTTAACAGACAGGTTGCTTCCCTCTGCATCCAAAGCTGCTTCATTATAAAGTGCCCACACGGAACCCTTCTTTGGATAAATACGATAAATTTCTCTTGCAGCCCTTTCACAATTCACGACATGAGAAAATATATTCACTGAATAAATGGGAGTCTTCCTGGCAACCTTAAACCTCCCACAAGAGACATGGAATCCCATTTTCTCCCAAGAAGCCAGCCACTCATCACCATTATTTTGAAGATCCAACCAACTCATTTTCACCTCAAAAGGATTGACAGAAACAACTTCATCGATCAAACCATAATGCCTGGGCATTCCATCATCATCATCGTATATCGCCCACACCTGCCCTTTCTTAAAGCTCCTCTCCTCTCTATCTTTATCAAAATCATAAAAATCAGAATCCTCCACTGCCATAATCTCCAAATCCCCACTCTTTGACACCCTGCTGCTCATGTCTACTGCCAAACCTCTAGTCTTATCACTTCCTAAATCCTTAATCTTCTTTGAAATAGTCCGTCTCTCAACTTCAAAATTCTTACCCTTCTTCAAATCGTTATGCCTCAGCCTCTCCCTCTTATCTTCCTTCTCTCTTTCATCCTTCTTGTCTTGAAGCTTCAACTTCAACTTCATCTTCATCTTCTCCTCTTGCGCCTTTTTCTTCATTTCCGACTGCATTTCTGCCAATGTCATCATGTCCTCACTGGTTTTTGCCTTCTTTGGTTTAGACCTCTCCATCACCTCTCCAACACTACTCATTCTCCTTCTCAATTTCCAACCAAATGGTTCACCACCATTACCACCAGTCACTTGCCTGTCCAGATTCCCACTACGGACTTCACTTTTCCCTCTCCCACCACTACCACCATTAATTTCACCACTATCACTCACTCTCCTGCCCAATCCTTCATTACTTATTATTTTCCCTTTTGATGCCAAACCGGTGGCGTTTCTCAACCTCTCACTGGTCCTAACCTTAGCATTTTCACCACCACCATTCTCATCACTTTCAACCTCCAGAGCCTTAAAGCTCTTCCTACAACTTGGGCAAACCAAATTATGCCCCAAATACCTCCTCTCAAACTGGTGGAAAAGCCGGCACGTCGAACACGAAGTCCAAAAAGTCTCCCTCTCCACCACCACACTCGAACCCAAACCCCCAACACCACCCTCTTTAATCTTCTCATCCTGAATCCTTATCCTGAGCCTCATATCATACTCCTTCCTCTTAAGCTTGTCGGAAAGGAACCGAAACGCCTCGCCGACGAGTTTGAAAGCCTCTTCGGAAGCAGCATGTGGGTTCTTGTCAGGGTGGAGAAGAAATGCGAGCTTCTTGTAGTTCTTCTTAATGGTGTTGGTGTGGGCAAAGGGCTCCACCTGGAGGATCTTGTACCAGTTGGGATCGGGGGTTTTGGAGGCTGTACGGAGGATCTTGAAGGCGGTGACCATGGAGGAAATGCCGTCCAGGTTTGGGCACAGCCGCTCCGCTCGTTTTGCGTATTTGAGGGCTGATTTGAAGTTGCTGTCTTTGCATTTGGCCTCAGCTACAGATTTCAGCCCCCGAGCTTCTTGCTCCTGCTCTGCTTCTTCCATATTATTTTTCTTTCTGTCTTTCAGTTTGTAGGGTTGAAGGGTCTTAACTGGTGAGCAAGCAAAACAAAAAGAGATTGAGCAAAAACAAGGCACGAACAAAGTGAGAAAGAAAGGGAGAAGCTGGAGTTTGCATATATTATATATAATATATTACTCACCTGTTCTTCATTAATAGAGAAAAATCAGCAGCATCTTCTCCCGTTTGGATTTGTCAAAATCAACAGAGTGGCTGTAAACCTCCCGGTAGTTTTTGGATTGGAACAGACTGGACTGGCTGAGACTGTACCAGACTTCGAACCCTAGTTGTTGTTTGATGCTAGGACTGCACTGTAAAACATTATATATTAAAAAGCTATCATCTTTATCAGAATAAATAAATAAATAAACGAAATGGTGCATACTACGGAAGTGGAACCCATATCGGCGATACGAGATCTGAAGATTTTCAATGAATTGAAGTAAAAACAAACTTAAAGCAAGAATGAGACAAACACGCGCCAATAAAATCGAAACCCTAAACCCAGAAAATGAAGATAACATTCATCAGAAATCTCAAAATTTAACAATAAAATCGAAAACAAAACTTTTGAGAGAGAGCGAGAGAGAGAGAGAGAGAGATAATTTGAACCTTGTTTGAGCCAAACCAGAAAGCCAAATACACCAGAGAAAAGAGGAGAGTAGACAGAGGAGAGTACGCGAAGAGACCACGTTATTCTGGACTATTGTCCAAGATGAATATCCAGTCCGTGATGCACACTTAGGCCCACCAAACAGGCCCTATGGACCTAAAGAAATCATTTTGCATCCTACAACCTACAACTAGTCTACAACATGTATGATAACAGATTTGATTCAAAGCCCACAAAAAAATTGTAAAAATAGGACCAACTGTTAATGGAGTAATATAAATTTACCAAATTATTCTTAATTCATTCACAAGTTTCAGATTTTTTTTTTGAAACACATACAAAAAAAAAGTTGGACTAGATTTTGAGTGAAGTTGATGAGATTTGGACTAGATTTTTTTTCTTAATTCATTCCCAAGTTTTTCTTGTTCTTTGTACTGTCTGCATTTTCGACAGTTGATGATACAAGCCGTCTCTAATTTGATCCAAGAGACAAATACAACAACAAATTATATAACAGCTAGTAGTTCTTTAATTTTTTTTGGTCAAGGCAAACCTTCATTAATTATGCAAACACATTACAAGACATAACATAGGTAGAAGCATAAGACATAGGCACAAAAGATTACAAAACAGAATTTTAATTCAATTTTAATACAAGCAAGGCCAACATACAAAGTTTCAAACCAAAACAACCCTAAAACTGAAAACAAGTTGCAACCGCACCATCCACAGCAAAGCAGCCAAACCACCATTGCAAGTCCACAGCCAACCAAGAGGGAGTCTCTGGTAACATAGTGAACCAAAAGTACGAACGGAAGACGGGGGTGAACAAGCCACCTGCCATTCTTACTTGGCGGCGCGTTGGGGTATGAGGATGCCTTTAAAGTGCAACAGCTAGTAGTTCAAAGGACTTGATAACTACAATACAATCCATGATTGTCCAAATTTGCCATTGAACTTTACTATTATGTCATTTGGATGACATACATATTTGCTTAAGGAACCTCATCTGATAAGAAAAACTCCAACAAGTGTACTGTTAGTCTGTAGTTAATTTGATCACCACCTCCAGTTATGAACTCTCAGTTTGCTATTAAACCGTCCGGAACGGGGGGGCCTCTCCAAATTTCAGTATGTAGGCAGTTTCATATACACCCCGCAGTTGTGGGATTACTTGAGCATCTAAATATGCATCGCAGGAGAAACACCAAACTGATAGATCACTGTTTGAAATGAAAAGAAAGTGAGAAGACAAATTTGGAAACCATCACTGTAGAACAGTAAATAGAAGATGACTTGAGAATGGAAAATTTTGTGGAAAACATTGGTAATTATACCTGTAGCTGAGAGCAAGACAATGATTTGTCTGCTGAAAATGCTGAAGCATGTGCTTGTTCACAAAACGGCTGCACAGGACATCCTTACAGCACAAACATAACCAGTTCTCATTGGGGTGCTGGCATCTATTTTAAGAAAATTGTTTCCCATATTAGAAATGTAACGCATGATTCAAGACTTGGGCACTCTGACTCAAATCAACGTATAAAGAGAAGAGAATCAGAAGGAGCAAGCTATAGATTCTCTTTCTCTATAATAATTTGAAGATTTAATTGGATGAGAAAAAATTTCAGATCCTTTTATAGTTGATGCACTTTGAATATAAATATGTGTAAAACCAAAGGTTGCCTAGACACTAAACTGCTAGGAAAAGAAACTAGAACAACCTCATGCCATAGAATGAGGATCCTAGTCCTCTCAGAGTGCTTTCAACAATGCTAGATGTCTTCTCTATGTTTTCTTTTTAAAGCTTTTCAGGGAAAGTTAGATGCAACGCACATTGTTGGATTTAAACAGCAGTCACAAATGTTCCGCAGTCATGTAAAGCAACCTCAACTCATTCATATGTTTGAAAAACAGCATACAAATTCAGAAAGCAAACGCTTAACAGACAATCATACAGCATGTGACTTTATGGGTGAAGAGACAAATGGCCACAAATACAAACAAGAGGATGAATGAAAAATTAGAAGATGGGTTGTGACTTTTGTTAAAAGGAAAAAAAAATTATCAAACTCTTTTGCTAGTGATAACAATCAAAGCTGGAACAAGTGATCAGAGGCTAAATTGAGAACTGGGTCAAATTGGAACAACACAAACAAAACTGAAAAACTGAAAAAAGAAAGGTTACAGCTTTGAGAAAAAGGAACCTGTTGCAGGGAGAATCAGGGGCGGGAATGTGAGAAAGATCAGAGGACAGGGAAGGCAGGTGATCGCAGAATGTTCGGGCCTCCACCCAACCCGATTCAGCTCCAAATATCAACTCTTCTTCGTTTTCAACAAATGGGTCCTCCTGATTCGCACAATCAACAAAACCCTTTGTTACAAAATTTCAAAAGAATCAAGCTTTTGGCTTCAGCCAAGCGCAGACATAAAAGATTACCTGAGCAGCAGAAGAAGAGCCAGCTTGGGCTGCCATGGAGGAACTGATGGCCTCTCACGCTGAACAAAGTTAGAAACTTGAAAGGTCTCTGTTTTCAAGCAGTGTTTTATTTACGTTTTTATTCATATACGGGTCGGGTCGGGTGGGCCTGCATTTGGTGACCCGACTAGATAACCCACCCGTGCGTTCTTTAAGTCTAGGGTTTTGTTTTGACTCTCTCCCATTATAAATACCAACTTTAAACCTAGCTTCTCCACTTCTTCCGCAAATTGAGATTACTCTGCGCCTGCTAGGGTTTTTGCTCCTTCAAACCAAATCATGGGGCACTCCAACGTCTGGAACTCTCACCCTAAGAACTACGGCCCTGGATCGCGCACCTGGTACTCATTTTCCCACTTTGATTTCCGAGAAATTTCAATTCCCAGTTCATTTTCATTGGTTTCAAGTTCAACTCTGTTGTTAGTTAATTTAGATTGATTTGTATTTTGTGTGTAGTCCTAAATTTTCTGTTTGCTAGGGTTTCTGAAATTTCTGTCTGCTGTAGGAAAACAGTCCATGATATTGAACGTGTTTGTAGTCAATAATCTTTCGTTGATATATAAAATATTGTAAATTTATGTGTAGTTTGTCAATTTGATCATTCTCGCGGTTTTGTTGCATATTTGTGGAATTTATAAATCTCAATCTTAATTGCATTGGCCCTTTTCACATTGGTTTTTCATGCTCCCTTTTGTCTGTTGATTCACCTTATTTGGAAATAAGCATATTCCCATTATTATTTGAATGCTTTGATGTGTTGAAATTTCTTGAATTACATGAAGACATCTGGGTCTGATGTGTTCAATGAGCAGTAGTTGTTGATACATTTCTCATTTGGATTTTGTTACTTATTTGGGTCTGGTTTTATAATTTTGCATTTTTTGCGATGTTTGTGTATATATATTGATATTGCTTGTTTTGGTTTCCTTTTTACAGTCGCGTGTGTGGAAACCCTCATGGGTTGATCAGGAAGTACGGTCTCATGTGCTGCAGGCAGTGCTTCCGTAGCAATGCCAAGGAAATTGGCTTCATTAAGGTAATGCTTTGAGAACTTGTAGCCAGTGACTTAGTGCTAATTCCCCTCACCGATCTAGAATCATTTTCACATTGTAATTGACTTTCTTTTTGGTTGCAGTACCGTTAAGTAGCTGACCTTCAACGTCCCAGGACTTTAAGTTTTGGCCCAAGAATCGTCAGAGTAGTTGTTTCTGAGTTGTCATGAACTCCAAGAAGATATTTTTGTTTTACTGATTTGCTGTTGAACTTGAATTGGTGGTCAGACTATGAATATTGTGTTAATGAATTGATTTATGTTCTCTTTTGTTGTGGCTGTTTCTCATGTTCTGTTCTTGTTCATATCCTATGGAATTTAGCTCATTCTTGTTTGCTAAGTATTCCGTGATATCAAAAGACTTATCAAACAAAAAAAAAAGTGAACTTTAAAAGTAAAGGGCACTGATCTTCCACATTGTTCTTCCGATATTCGCGTTTAGGGTTTCTTTGATTGCTATGTACCATGTTCTTGCTATGTGCATTAGGTTGTAGTTATGGCGCACACCCGAGTTGTCGAACCAGATCATAATCTTAAGTTGATGTCTGTTTCTTGTTCCATTTAGTCGCTTGTCCGGTTGCCTCTACCAAAATTTATTATTTTATCAGTACTGTCAAAACGTTTGTATAACAATGCGGAAGACCAGTGCCAGTAAAACTATTGCTTTAGAATTATGCCTGCTTGAATTTTGCAAAAATCGCTTTGTGCTTTGTTGAAGTGGAGATTTATTGAACCAAGTTAAAAAACTGAATTGTTTTGAAAGACTGATGGTCCGTAAATGGAACCAAGTAAAGAGATAAAGAAGCTTGGTTGGCATGTACTTTTAACAATCGCATCGTAAGCTGCGATCATGTTTTATATTTTAGAAGTTCAGATTTCATGTTATGCTAATTTGATTAGAAATGTTCATGGTATGTTAAAATCCAGCTGCATCTTGTTAGGGCACATTTCTTGATACAAGCGATACTAAGGAAGGAGAAACTAGACCACAAGATTTCGGGTACAGTGATAAATATTTAACCACTTCAATTATAAGCTCTAGACTGTCAGAGTCGTTTTCAAAGAACAGTTCATTTGATATTTGTTTGAAATTTAGATGGTTCAGAACTTCCCCTTCTCCTCCTCTCTGTGTTCCTGATGATGCTTGGCAGTTTCAATAATCTGTGGACTTTTGAAGTGGGGCAGCATTACATCAATAATAGAACCAATCGAACATGGCAGTACTATTCCATACACTCAATTCAATACCTCAAAGTTACCAATAATTCATGACGTTAGTTCATGTTGAGTAGGTCTAGGAAAATCATGGTGGTCACCCGTTTTCGTTACATCACAAAACTTTTGTATCTCTGATGCCACCGACTCTATAATCCCTGTGCAAGTTCAATGCTTGTGTTTTCTTGTCTCCAGGACAAAAATGAACAAACTTAGATTACCTTTCTAAGCCAAACCACAATGCTGTTTTCTGTATTTTGCTAATCAGTGGAGCTTCTAGTTCATTCTTAAGAACAATTCTTTGTTTTTCTTCTTGTTCAACAGTAACTGGAATATCGTAGCGTGGTATTACTAATTGGCACATTATTATATGGGTGGAAGACAGGTTTATCTTATAAGATAAGATATGCCCGTGTTAAAACGTGAATGAATTAGTTATACCATGTGGCACAGTACAGTCTCACCCGAAAATTACTCTTGAAAAAAAAGAGTGCAAGAACTAAACTATCTTTATAAATTATGTATGTATAAGTAAATGATCTACCACTAGAGCTATGAGCCTATAACTTTCCACTTTATAACACTTTTTCTACTCCTTGTTTACCATCAAATTTCATCTCAACTCTTGAAGTGCTAGCTGAGAGTACCAGCAGGCATCAGTAACATATTATGGTGCAACTAACAAATTATACTGAGGTTACTACAGCTTCAATGATAGTGAAGATCACCTAAATGAAAATAAAAGCACAAATGGGCATGCAATAATATACTTCACCAACCTACTTTACTAAAATTTCTTCATCTCCAAGTTAGTTTTCAAAAACCTCCTTTTCAGATGTCTTTTCTGACGTCAATCACTTCCCTCTATCATCCAGGTACAATCTTCTGGAACTCATTAAATTTTCTCTTCTCCCACAACCATCAAATTGCACAATTGAAAGCTTCTCACATGACTGGCATGCAAAACTCCTGGAGAAATTTTCACCAAGTGAAGATTTGAATGTAAAACAATGAATAATTTTGACTCTAGATTGTTGCCAACCATCATGAAGGGGTTTATGAATTATGATTTTATGATTATCCTTTAAGATTCTAAGAAAATTAATGTAGAAAGTATAAATCTAACCCAATTAATCACATATAATACACACATGTTAGACTCTATATGCAAAATAATCACTTTTTTTTTCTTTGTAAAAGCAATGTTGGGTTGAAGTGGAGAGGAGAAGCAATGTTGGAAAGCTATGGGGTGCAGACAAAATCATTCTCCTGTAGTTTATAATCACTTTCAAAACAAACTAACTAATACCCAATTAAACAAACATCACCTAATGGGTGTGTGTTACTTTTAAACTAATTATCCCATTGGAGTGTACCTTAAGTCACATGGCTGCAAAACAAATCCAAAGCTATCATCATTTCAGGATATTGTAGGCTTAGTAGCCATAGCTGAAATGATGCTATTCCAAAATGGGTGAATCTATATTCTATTGAGAGACTCAGTTGGGATTTGGGGTTCTTAACAGGTTTGTAATTGTCTGCTAGTAATTTTATCATTGATGGATCAGATTCTCCCTGAACTTTCACTGTTTTCAATGGTTTTTTTATTATTTATATTTTATTATTAAACAACTAATGTCTACGAGATTTAAACTCATAACATTCTTCAATAAAATAAAAGCTAACTACACTAAATGATCATTGACACTAAATGCAGCACTGCACTGTTACATCGTTTGACTAGTACATTGCTCTCTCGGAGTAGTAGCTTGAGTCTCCGGACTAGTACATTACCACTCCAAGCATCTCGGAAATTAACCGCCATGTTCTGTGGTTCACTGCTAAAATTACCAAACTCCTGCAGATTAGTATCTATTTTGAAGTCAACAAGGTAATAATTGAAGCTCTAGTCAGTGACGTACGGACACCAATAAGGCCTTGAGTGGTTTGTGTGATTAGATCTTACCTGGTGTGGGGCAGACAGTGAGGAAGTTTCATGTTTTACTGTTAAAAAAGTTGATTGCTTTTGTATTTACAAGTTGGCTTGAGAAAGATATTATGTTATAAGTCTTCAATTGCCACACTTTGGTTGTACTTTCACCACAAACACCACATGGGTTAGGTTAGGGATTTATAGGTAGATTAGACTGTCATAGTAAAAGCAATTAGGCAGATGGGTTAATGAGGTTCATTGTGTACTTTTTGGTTGCCTTTCCAGCTGGTGCAGTGCAGGGTTCATTTCCTAGCCTCTTCCAAAAAATAATTTCTTTTTTTTTTTCTTTATAATAATTTTACTGAATTTTATCAGTAAGATTTGTATTTGGTCGGATCACGGATGGGATTATCTTGTTTTTAGTAGATTAAGTCCATGGAATCAAAGAATAAACAATACATATGTCCTGCATTTTCTGATATAATATGAACCAGAAATGTATTAGAAAATATCCATATATATACAGTCAAACTAAGTTAGATTTCATAACCAGAATGAAAATGTTAGAGAGAGAAATGAACTATAATTTTGGATGGAAATATAAAATTGCTGAACATATAAGGAAAGTTGATGGCACTAACCACATTTTTCTTGTTGTTTTTTTAGAAGGAATTGGGAAATTAGGTAGTTGGGATAATTTGCCAACAAATTTTTAACCAATTTTCCTTTCGACGATTTGAGTAGATGCTAGAAGACTGAGATTTATTGTGGAGCTGATTTAATGTTGATGTCTTTGAATGATACTGTTGAAATTTATTGAATAAAGTTTTTCTTTGATTAAAAAAATTGCGGAGTTAGTGAATTGGATTGGTAGGAGCCACAACGAAGAAAAAAATTCCGGGTTTAAATGAAATAGGAAATATGTTGAAAGCAAAGGCATAACTAAAAATTGAGAGATGGTGATAAAGATGTGGTAACTCTTTATACAAACTAATGCTAAAAAAGGTTTATATAGCTTAGCTTGCAAAAATGACACAATGCAATTGAGTCCATCCTTTAATCTTGTTTAAGCTTATGGCATCATTAATTGATGTCATCAACCACTTTTTTGCTTGAATGCTGTTTTCATGGAGGTTAGCTCTGCTCACTCATATCTTTCCCTCATGAAGAAAAAAGAAAATTATGCAGCTTGTATTGCCATTTTTTTTATATTGTGCCTCTCATTATTTTGTTATTAATTGGCAATTATGACAACTTCCACTCCACAAATGCTATCTATGGAAAGTGTACATTAATGATTCTGTACAGAAAAATAGTACATACCATGTCTCATGTATATGTGTGAGAATAAGATGAGGTGAACACATACCACAATTTTGGCATATACTTGTACTTTGTACCACCATTTTTGTTTGAACTCAAAACCTCCTTGAAATAACAACTCAAGTATTTCTCATTGGTCGATAATCTATACGGGGATTTTCATATCACGTCATCATAATAATGTAATATGTTAAATTATTTCGCGATAATTTATAATGGATGTTTGAAACTGAATAATATATACATGTATATTTTTTTTCAATTTTAGTGCATGTCATGATATTCTGATACTACATCAGCAAGAAGTCCCTTGGTTTTTTTTTAAAATTTTTTTAATCAAAGAAGTCCCTTGGTTTCTTTGTTCTTTTTCTCTGTTTTGTGAATAAAATTATATAATCCAATATCCGGAAATTATTATATGGGAGAAAGTCACATGTGGAGAAAATGTATTAATAAATTAATTAAAAAGTTTTTAAGACTTAAAATGCAATTAAATCAACATAACATAACGTTAACGTCCCTCCAAAGTTTCTCAGAGAAAAAAAAAAATCCCAAACCTGCAAAAACTCTCATAGCATTTTCTTTTGGCCAGAGACGCTCTCAGACTCTCTCTCATACACTTGCAAATCTCACCTCTCTCTCTTACCGACTTCTACTTCTCTCTCTTCCTCTCTCTCAAAACCCACAAACACAGAGACAGCAAAGCTCACTGCTTTCTCTCTCAGCTCCAAAAATGCTGAATCTCCTGCAAACCCATCTCAGAATTTCCCCTTCTCCTGCAATTTCTTAAATCTGCATTGCTAATTTTGGGGGCGTGATGGGTTTGCGAGTGGCACAAAAATTGAATCTTTAAGAGGGCAATGTGAGGAGGACTTAGGATTTTCAACAGTCCTATGATGGTGGCTGCCATTTCCGAAGCAGCTTCAAACGACCGTCCAAACCCCAAAACCTCCACAGACCCACGCTCACGCACCCATCTCCAAAACCCATCAAGGCCTCCCCTTTTGCCCTCAGAGAAAGACAATGGCTTTGTGCAAAGAAGACCCAGAGGCAGACAAGTCTCGTCTAAGTACATGTCTCCTTCTCCTTCTTCTTCTTCAACCTCAACATCCACTTCTACTGTCTCGTCCTCTGCGTCTTCTAGAAGATGCCCGTCTCCATTGCTCTCAAGGTCCATAAACTCCTCTTCAAACTCGACCCCAGTGCCCTCTTTGGGTCCGAAACGGGCTCAATCGGTGGACCGGAGGCGACCCATTACGCCTCGGACCTCCACGGGTCTCCCTGAGGCTCGGCTAAGCAATGCAGGCGCTGAAGTCTCGGCTGCCACTCGGCTTCTGGTCACTTCCACTCGGAGCTTATCAGTTTCTTTTCAAGGTGAGGCCTTTTCGCTTCCGATTAGTAAGACTAAAGCAGCTGCCTCGCCTAGTGGGGCTGTTGCGAGGAAGGCCACGCCTGAGAGACGCCGGTCGACCCCTGTAAGAGGAGATCAGGCTGAGAATTCTAAGCCTGCTGATCAGTATCGGTGGCCGGCCAGGACCAGAAAATTGAGTTCGGGTTCTAATAACTCGTTGTGGAGGAGCTTGGACTGTAGTTCGGAGACTGGGAAGCTCAATGGGATTGGATCTGGGGTTGCGGCTAGAGCATTGCAGCAATCTATGATTGATGATAGCAGAAGAGCTTCCTTTGATGGTAGATTGAGCTTAGATTTGGGCAATGCTGAGCCTTTAAAGGCTGCTGAGCAAAACCCAGATGCCAATTCAGCCAATGAATCTTCCGTGCCTTCTGATCTCACTGCTTCTGATACAGACAGTGTTTCCTCTGGTAGCACTTCAGGTGTACATGATGCTGGTGGTGTTGCAAAGAGTCGAACTGCACCTCGTGGCATTGTTGTGTCTGCAAGGTTTTGGCAGGAGACTAATAGCCGGTTGAGGCGGTTGCAGGATCCCGGTTCGCCTTTATCAACAAGCCCTGTGTCTAGAGCAGGGTCGAAATTCATTCAATCTCAATCGAAAAAGTTTAATGGTGATATCCCATTATCATCATCTCCTCGAACGATGGCTTCCCCCACTAGGGGACCAACTCGGCCTGCTTCTCCGGGAAAGCTTTGGACTTCATCAATGTCACCATCAAGGGGGTATAGTCCTTCTCGGGTGAGAAGTAGTGTTAATGGTTCCTTGAATAGTAGTTATTCTGGTCCTGCACCTTCAATTCTCAGTTTTTCTGTTGATACTCGGAGAGGGAAGATGGGGGAAGATAGGATTGTTGATGCACACATGCTCAGGCTTCTGTATAACCGTTATCTGCAATGGCGGTTTGTAAATGCAAGAGCAGATGCTACCTTCATGGTGCAGAGACTGAAATCAGAGGTATGCTTGTGGTTCTATAAATTGCAATGCTATATATCTTCTAATTGTGTTTCTTCAGGACTTTGTTTGGTGCTTGTATGGTCATAGACTCATAGATATTGTTTGCCATGGTTGATGTACACTTCAATTTGTTTTGTACTCATTATACTGTACACATCTCCATAATTAGCATGGTTCATGTGTGTATGTTCATTGTTTTCCATATACTTTATCTCCATCCAATTAGAGTTTCTTTCCCCCAGTAATTACAACAAGAACGGGAACTTCTCCTTGTCACCTTATTTCTTTTATGGCAACGTTTTTTTTCCCTTAAGGAGTACTGCATTTTCCTTTTTCCTTATGAATATAACATTATATAATCCATTTCTGAGCTCTAATCAGAAGTATGCGAGGTTATTTAGGGAAATTTTGGTTTTAACCGAGTATGGAAATACAGAAGGCTGCATAATATTTTATACAAATAACATCCGGGTAATACAGGGAATAAAGCTCAAATCTTAAATGAGGTGTGCCACTGTCATTAGTTTTTAACTGTAAAAAAATAAAGGCGTGTGGTTGTCTTTGGAAACTTCTGGAGTGTAGATTTGGAAAATAGTAGAATCAAAAGGTGATTTGTGAAGTCTTTAGAGTGATTATTGAGTTGACCGATTGCTCTAGAATAGAGTAGATGGCTTTCGCCTAGTATGCAATGAACAATCATGGCTTGTTGTCAAGGAGGACTTCATACTCGGGTGTTATCTTTAAGAAGGACTTGATTTCTCTTTCAGTTTAATAGACTCCATGAAATGGAGATTGCATATTGTCATGTTTTGTCGCTTAATTGGTGTCTTTACTTGATATCTTCAAACAAGACCCATAGTGAATTTGGAATTTGATAATGCATCTGTCTCTTTGGTATATTTGCTCTTTTTTCTTTTTTCTATATGTTTGAACTTGTCTGATTTTGTTTAAACTTTTCAACATGTTTGATTTTGTCTGAACCCTTATGATTCTATAAAACATAGCTTTATTTCTAGTGGTTGAATTCATGCTTCCCATTTCAGCCACAAGTGAGTACTTTAAATCAGTTTGTTTGAGCTTTTTCACATCCATAGAGTGATTTCCATTTGTTCAACTATGTATAGAAGTGACGTGATACATTGTATCTGGTTCTGATTTTGTTGACAGTTCATATGTGTTTATCACTATGGTTCAGTAAAAGTTTCTTCATACTGGCATCTCTGCTGCATATTATGTGATGAATTGGTCAGGATGGTTTCAGTTTGTGTACAGTTTCTTTTGTCTAAATTTGTATTTTCTTGGGTGCCAGAAAAATCTATGGAATGCATGGGTATCAATCTCAGAGCTACGGCATTCCGTCACTCTTAAAAAGATCAAGTTACTTTTGCTGAGGCAGAAATTGAAGTTAACTTCTATCCTCAAAGGACAAGTAAGATTCACAGATTCACTATCTTCATGGCACTTCCTTTCTGCTCCATATTTATATATCATTGGCTGGAATCTGAAAGTGCTATAATACGAAATATGAGTTGGTGGTGGGAATTTTTTGTGATACTTCATTAAAAGATTCATGTTCAGGAGATGTACTTGAGTTTTGTGCTGACCTTCAGTCTACAGTTATGACCAAGCATGTGACTTGCTAGGTAAAAGTTTAGGGCTTTAATTATGACAGAAATGAAATTAGTCACATTTTTAATACCCACTGCTCCCCTAGACCCTTTTTTTCTTTTCTTTTATCACTCTTCTTTCCACTTGGTTGACTTCCTTATTAACTTTTAACTATACATGTTCGGACAAAAACTGGTACCATTGCTGTTGTTACCTCTGCCCCTGCTGGATTAGAGGCTTGCTCTTTCTCTGTGTGCAATTTTGAGCAACGTTCTCTCTAAATAGCACTATCAAGACGTTAGTGTTGATAATACTACATACCACCAATGAATTCTTAGTGACATAGATTGCCATACTAGTACAAGTTCAAATGCTTTCTATTTTCTGTATTTTGGCGATAATGCATTCAATAGAAGGAATAATCTTGAGAAGAATCTTCTGTCCACCCCAAGTTCCTTTGTATCGTACTACTACATCAAGTAGCTGTTTAATAAGAAGTTTGTTCTTTTGGTGTTTGTAGATCACTTATTTGGAAGAATGGGCTATTCTGGACCGAGATCACTCTAGCTCTTTGCTAGGAGCAACTGAAGCATTGCAGGCCAGTACTCTCCGTCTTCCGGTTGTTGGAAAAGCAATTGTATGTGGCTTCTTCTTACCCTTAACTTAATCAAGGACGTATCGAAGGCCTGAACCAAGGATCCATCACTGTTCAAAAGACTGACTTTGCTTATTTTATATTAGGTTGACTTTCAAAAGCTGAAAGATGCTGTGGGTTCTGCAGCTGATGTGATGCAAGCAATGGCGTCCTCAATTTGCTCTCTTTCATTGAAGGTAATCTATTTTTTTGTCTTTTCTTGAATCACGTTTCTAATTTTCTTGGTTAGTTTCATTATTCTTCCAAACATTTCACAGAAATATACATCAATTGCATTCTGTTCTTCCCGTATGTTATAAGTTGTAAATATAAAAATGAACAAAAGTGAGAGATGAAGCCACTGTACCTGTACTTGAACTGTACCTGAACATTACCCGAGGAGCTGGCATAGATGTTGTAGTTGGGTAGAACCGTTGTTTTACATTTAGGTGAAACAATGTTTTGAGGTATCCTTTGTTAAAAATGTTGTACTTTCCAGTACACCTAGGTGATTGATGTTATTGTTTAATTCCTAGAAGTAATAATTGATTGATTCAGTTGGATTGAACTACAACAGTCACTTACCTGACCTGATTGTTTAGTAGTTGTTGACATCTGCACCGCTACCTGATTACTCTTTTATTTTTACAGCATATGGATTTGTTTCCAGAAAGACCCTTAAGCTTTTTGGCAGAGCATATTTAGAAGTGCCTCCGTAGTCTAGCAGTTTTGATATCTCCTAGACTTCATGCATGTTATCTATTCATGCCTGGTAGATGTGAACTCTAGAGCCTCGTTATGAATAGCTTGAAACTGTTTTAAGGAAGTTTCTTAAACACTTGCCATTACAGGTGGAGGAAATGAATTCCTTGCTGTCTGAACTTATGAGGGTTACCGCAACAGAACGGGTTGTGCTTGAACAATGCAAAGATTTTTTGTCTACATTATCAGCCATGCAGGTAAGTCTGGTAGTCTATTTCATTTTTTTTCCTTTCAAGGTTTCACTTTTTCCCTCCAGTTTTTCAATTGCTTTCTTATTCATTGTAACAGGTCAAGGACTGTAGCTTGAGAACACATATAATACAATTACGACGTGTACCAACTACCCGCAGCCTGACAACACATGTGTAGAACTGATCTTATTTGACTACTCACTCCTAATGCTAACATATTACATGGAGCCTACCGGGTGGAGGCAGCAGAGGTAATAAGAATGGATCAAGTAGCTAGTTTTGGCTTCTGATGTGGCAATTTTTGGAACCTGGTTGTGGTCTTCTGTATCATGCATCTCAATGTATCTTTTGTATCTGAAGAATACAGAAAATGGCTTTTCCCCTCTCACTAAAATTAGCTGTATACAAGCACTCTTTTCTTTCCTTGGGGCAAAAAGGAAATGTATATGTATATATATGTAATTTCTCCTGATCACACTGTTAATCAAGTAGTTTGTGGTAAATCTCTTAATTCAATCATCTTGTCATGCCTTTTCTTCTGCTCGATTGTTCGTGATTTCAACAATGCCAGCGTTATTACTTTCTGTATAGAGTCTGAAACAGATTTTTGGTTTTTCTATTGTAGTATAACCCAGGAAATTGGCCAAGTACAAGATCTCAAGCTGTTTAACGAAAAGGGTTCAGGCTTTGCCTCTGAATCTGATCACGTTTGTAAACTTTTGTGCTATGTTTTTCTACAGATCATATGAATTATAAAAACAAGAGGGATAAAATAATTCATCTTTGGATACTTCCCCCACATGGTGCACTTCAATGCATGAAAGTTGGCAACCTCTTCTTTTCTATTCTGTTTTTGTTCAGACTTCAGAGAATCAGAAGTCTCTTGCCCTCTAGTTTCTTCAAATTCTTGTATGGATGAAATTCCACGAACCCACTTGGCACATGCATTTGCCTCCATTGATGGAGGGGTGAAAATGGTTCTGAGAAAAGATAATATTAGCATCAGACTTTGACTGTTGATTGACTGAAGTTATCATATCCAACGGTTCACAATCATCCCCCACGTTAAGGTTTGTGTTCACATGGCTCCTAAGAGAAAACACAGGTTTGGAGTCAACTGTGAAGAAGAATTGACCTAGTTTGACTAGTTGGGTCAAGCGACAGCCCATGTTAAAGTTCCAGCATATGAGGATGTTAGGGCCCCCATAATTTAATTCTGACCCAAAAAATATATAAAAAGAAAAATAGAGAAAAAAAGAGGGCCACTAAAACCCAATTGCCTCTTTCCTGTTTTGGACTGAAACTAATCTGCCTTCAAACCCTTCTCCTACAAAAGACAAACTGTCGGTTTTATAAGGTTTGAACCATTGTGGGCTGCAGACGTCAACCATCCCATTTGGTTAAACGAGTAAGTCTGCCCTTAAGTTCGACCTCCTTTCCTGTACATTAGAAGTTAGAATCTTGCTTAGTAAAAATAAAAAAATAAATCTCCTTAATGTCCATCTTTTCTCAATTCATAATCAAGAAACTATTTGTTTCGGACTGAAAACTAATTTGCCTTCAAACCCTTCTCCTACAAAAGACAAACTGTCGGTTTTATAACGTTTGTACCATTGTGGGCTGCAGAGGTCAACCATCCCATTTGGTTAAACGAGTAAGTCTGCCCTTAAGTTCGACCTCCTTTCCTGTACATTAGAAGTTAGAATCTTGCTTAGTAAAAATAAAAAAATAAATCTCCTTCATGTCCATCTTTTCTCAATTCATAATCAAGAAACTATTGAGATATATGCTGTCGTGTGGCTTAATTTTTTTTTTTAGACACGATAACTTTGAGTGCAAAAAGACGGGTTCATTGTTTTGGTCAACTGATTTAACTCACGTTTTGCGTCATGTGGCTTAATTTTAATTTCTAACTGGTTGAATCTTCCATGACGTCATTATTGTAGTGTACGTGTTGTCATATTGTTTAAGAATTAAGATCTCAAACAAATATTGATATTTAAAATAGATTTTTCGAAGAAATACTAGAAGGAGAGCGATTCGAAAGCTTTCCAGCTGGAAACCACTCTCAGATGTCTCATCTGTTAGTGATGCGCCGACACAATGTCAACTTCCAAAAGTGTGCAAAGAGAAAAATTAGTATGTAAAATGGACCCAACTCTCCAATATTTTTTCCCCTCTCCAATTCAAGTATCCATGACATGACCTAAATTGGAGAGGAAATGGGTTGGATTTTGGGTGACCAACCACAAACATCTAACACATGAGAGGTGTGAGTGTACCGTCCACCACGAAGCCACTGATTCAAGAAACTATTTTGCGTATTTGATAAACGGGCAGTAAATTTTTATTGCAAATTAGTATTATAGTGTCATCAATCTGTTCATATTATAACACGTGTGTATTTATTAATACGATGTCCTCAAATATAAACATGTTTTCCGTCCAGGATATAACACATTTTCATCTTGAGGGCTCAAAATAAATAAATAAAGGCTGAACCAATAATTTATATTGACAAAATTTGTATGGAACCTTTTTTTTTTCTTCACAACTTTTGTATACAGGTTCTAAAAGTGTTGTGCGGCCCTTGAGACGACTCAAAAGCCAACAAATAATATTCCAAATATCTCATGCCCCACTACACAATTCATTTCCAAATTTTCATCATCCAATCCAACCTTGACAACTCATTAATCCAACTGAGACTGAAAATTTCATCCATGCATCAGAATCTTCATTCATGGCCTCTGAATATATATTAATAAGAGATTATAATTTCTTTCAATTTTTTTAAAATTAATTTTATGGTAAAAGGTCAAAAATCAAAGCAAAATTACAAGAGGATGCTTTTGTTTATGCTTAAACAGCCGAATATTAATCCCCCCATATTATTTACTCGGCAATTACAACAAGAAGGAAGAAACAAAAATATTTATTCTTGACCACGTATGCATGATCAAATGAATAACCTCAGAAGCTTTGTCGTTCCCTTCAAATTATTACCACTACAATGATCCGCTGACGACGAACTGCTTCCTAACGTCGTCGTTTCAGACTCTTCCGCGGAGGACGGCGTCCCCGCCCTACAATCTCCGCGCTTGGTCCTCGACGTCAACCCACCCGCAGCCGTCAAGCAAAGATCAAGATCAGGCAGCTGGCAGTTCGCCACGTCATGATCATCAGTATCATCGAAAGCCAAATCGCTAGACCTCTTCTTCTTGGTGGATTGCCGTTGTAGTCGAACATGATGATCATGAACGCAATTTTGGTGGTCGTCACGAGTGTACTCGGGAAGTGGCTCCAACGTGCCGCCGCGTAGCACAGTCTCCACCGCCGCCTGGCACACCTCCCACTTCCCACTCAAAAGAAGCCCCGTCGCTCCATTCACCGGATTTATAGTCCGCCCCACCGCCTCAAAAATCAACGACTGAAATAAAGCTATAAAAAAAACCTAAACATCATCAGCAATCTGTTTATTTTCATATGTATCCGTTAAGAGAGACAGACCTCCACGCTACAGAGGCTACTGGGTCTGTAGTGTGGACATCATCATCTGAACTTACGTAATAAGAACATACTTTAATTTTGATAGGGAGAAATGTTGTTTACCGGGTCGTTGGGATTCGGAGACGGCGTTGATGAAGGAGAAGAGGCCGGCACGGCCAAAGAACTTGGCAACGAAAACGGTGGCGTGGGCTTGAGCTTGGGGGTCCTCTATCCATTGTAGGCATTGCCTGAGCATGCAATTGTCACTGCAACCCTTTCTTAGGACTCGGCATCCATTGCAACTCATTTTCACGCATTAATAGTAAACAACCGAAACAGTAGTTGCTAGGGTCACAACTAGTAATACATAGGAGCCTGCGTCTTAATTATTGGAGATGTGGGAGGCCGTCTTAATTTGCATTAAGACTTGTGTATATATAGGGTGGGAAATGTTATATAATTATGCTTTCTTTTTTCTTTTTATTATATGGGGATGGTTGAATTTAAAACGCAGGGTATTCCTAAAAAAAACCATAATATAGTCGCTTAAATTATTTTTAGGCGGTGTTAAATATTCTTATTTGAACTTATATGACATATTAACAGTTTAGCAACATAACATATCAGATATATATTATATTGTTGAGATTAATCAGCGTTTGGTTTGATCAACTATGGTTAAGTTATTTGAGGTGGAGTTGAGTACATGGTTTGACTGTATAATATGGAGGGTTTTGGGTTCCAAGGAACTTGGTGAGGGACGGCTGCGCGTCTCCGCGCAGTAGGTGGGTGTGGTTCATAGAATTTCATTCCTCCACCGTTGGATACCTCTGCATGGATATTATCTAAAATCTATGACCAGATTCTGTTTCTGTCTTTTTTCTTATTTTAATTTTCTATTTGTTTCTGGCTGTGCTTAGCTTGTACCACTCATGGGACGCTTGCATGCAACAAGACCAAACGTTTTTAGTGTTTCTGCTTTCTCTTCTTTTCTTTTTTCGGGTTGGAGCAGCAGAGAATTCCATAATAATTAATAATTAATTAAGCATTGTTTAGAACATATAAATGAGTGGGGGGTCTAGCTGGATTTGAATTTAACATCCAATTAAGTTGGGTGTAAATGAGCTTCCATTCTTTTGGGAAACCAATTTTATATAATGGCAACCATTCTTTATAGCTTTTACATATAATGGAAGAAGAATCCCCACAACTCTCTCCTCTTTTTTCTTTTTTCAAAGAAGAATAATCCCTTACATCACAAAGGGTATCACCAAAAGTATTTAATCAATTAGTATAAATATATATTTCCGCTCCATATTATCCATTTTAGTCTCTGAAATTTCGATAAAGAATCTCGTACCTACATGTTATGTTGTCAGACTCTACTCTACTATACTTTAAAATTAGATTCCACTTAATCGATAGCCTTAAGAACATATATATTATATGTTGTGCTAGAACATTCTTGACTTCATTATATATATAACAATTGGACAAAAATGACTTCACTTGAAGAGTAAGTGAGTGGCTATATTTACAAGGCGCAGAATTTGGGAAGAAAGTGGGGCACGCATGGGACTAATGATAAAGATGACGATGTGGACAAAGTAAAGGCATTGAAGTTATAGTCGCGATTCGGGTACGTGGCATGTTTATCTTATTAGCACCACGATTAACTAAATTAATCCCACATTAAAATATGTTTAAAATAATGGTTAATTGATGTTCCAACAAAACAAAGTTTGTGGAGAATGGGATTCCAATACAATTAACTTTTCACAGCTCACTTTAATTTGGATTTTCATGCTTCCGAATGTAAGGCCACTCTAGTCACTAACTATGGTTGTGTAATTAGGTATAATTATAGAATAAAGGGATGGGACATCACTTTGGCCGTACACATAAAGCCAAGCCATGGATTCATTGGATTAGTTGTAAGAGAAGGGTGTCGTATTAAGCGTCACCATTGGCAATTGCGGCTAATTTGAAATGTCCCTTCCATGACCTAGAGCGACACTTGTACATTAGGCCGGGTAATGGGAAAGATTTACATCTTAATTACCTTATGTTTTGCATAATCCCAATCTTCCCGAAGTTGCACAATATGTAAACACACATCTTCCAATTATAAGGATAACTCTTTGTTGAACTCTAATGGTGTGTTTACTAATCAGGAATTGGAATTCTCATCAGGAATTGAATTCCACCTAAGGAGGATTCCTGCGTTTACACATCAAGGAATTGAAAAGTAAGTGGGGCCCACACAAAATTAGGATTTGAATTCCTAATTTGGAGGAATTCAATTCTTAGATGGGAGATGGCATTCTAATTCTCGGAGAATTAACTCATCAGGAATTCATCTTTTTTACCCATTATATCCTCACACAATATTCAAATTTTCAAAATTTTCAAATTTGCCATATACTTTAACCAAACAACGAGGACATTTGAGTAATTAGTACCACTCCTACACCAATTTCATATGATTTAGTAAACAACTTTAATAGTAATCCAGAATCTAACTCCCCTCAATCCATATGGTTTAGTAAACAACTTCAATAGGAATCCGAAATCTAATTCTCCTCAATCCAACTCCTCCTTAATTCAATTCCTCCTAATCCAATTACAGATTAGTAAACATGCCATGCATAGAATTTTTGACGGGTAGAACGGATTTGGGAATAAAGTCGTCCTTGGTGTGAGTGCTTTGCACTGTGTGTTAGCTGTCATGGTCGTTGATGGCCGTGAAAACAAAGGAAGTGTTATGGTGATTTGCACCTTTGGTATGACTTCTTCAAACGATTTAGGCTGAGTTAGGAACATTTTCTTCGCTGTTGGGTTCTTAGCCTTGGCAACAAAGCTACTTGTATTACGTTGTCTTGGGTAATTGAGATTGTCGTGCTCGGTATGGTCGTGTTTGGATGTCAAGTGATCTCTCAAGTTGTTTTTTAATCTAAATGAAACAAAGACTACAATTAAAGAAAAAATGGATTAGATGATGCTGAAACAAAAACTTTGAAGAACATAGTTGTTTGTTGATATATTGAATGGATGGTTACAATGACGGTGCTCAAGAACTTTGAACAAGCTTCAGAGTTCTTGGTGATAATATGTTCCTAGGAAAATAATAAAATTTATCTAAGTCTAGTTTAGGAAATACATTGCACAACATTTCGTCTTAGTTTTTGTTGTTGTTGAGAGATTAGGTTTTTTAAAATTAGGAATGAAAACGTTATGCTATTTATAGGCGAATTGCCTTCTTCAAAAGGCGTCAAGATATACGGCCACGCCCAAAGTTTACTTGCGCCGCCCTCCTATCGTTGCATCATGCCTCGATCACTGGTCCCAAGGCGCCTTTTTCAGATCTATCTTTATTTCCAAGTTCCAAGGGTTCCATTCTCTGAGTAGCTCAAGTTTCAAAAAATAGCTCGACGTCCCATCATTCCTTTTGCTCTGGTCCGCTTCTCGAGGTGGTGCACGTGAAAATCCTTTCCTTACTGGTGCTCATACTTTTTTACTCGACCGAAATCCTCTAGGCCGAGGAACAAATGCCGAGCATTGACTTTGATGGGGCTAGAGAATTGGTCGTCCTCTGGTGCTTGGGCCGAGATTTCGAAGCATGATCTTTGGGCCTTGTGGGCCTTAGTCAATCTATTTGGCATTTTGGGTTGCATTGTTTTAGCCTGCTTTGAGACCTAGGTCGAGCCTTGTTGCTTAGGCTGAGTCCACTGTGTTACGGCCGGGGGCTTTTAGATTCGACTTCATATTTTGCTTTGGGCATTGAACACGTTTGTCTCTAGGTCCAAAGCCTTGGCTCAAATAGGGCCAAGAGGAAAGTTTTGGGTTTGAACATTCTCAAAAGATGACCTAAAATATAGAGAGTGCTGATCGCCGAAATATATTATGAGGTAACCCTAGGATGTGTGCACTTTTTTACAATAAGAATATCTTTGAAGTAGAAAAACGGACAATGCTTGACTCCTTACATACCTACCAATTACTGTGTGATACATATTCAAAAGTAACTCGTTAACATTACAAAGGGAAAAAGTTTATGTATACATGTTAGACTGTGATTTGTCCGTAAGAAGGAATGACTCCTTACATGTAAGGAGCCAAGTAATTTCCTAGAAAAACTACAAATTTAGAGAGACAATTTTTTCCTTTAATGTGAAGACTCGCATAATATTGAGATTTTAGAGTTGCATTATTAATTTTTAAATTTTTCCGTCATCAGGCTAGGGTTCAAACCTAAGACATTCGAATTTACTGCTTGTCCATACTTACCTTTTACCACTAGACCATCTAGGTTAAATTTCCTTTATCTTTTTTTGATGGGATTTGACTCTTGTGACGGCAAATCCTTTGTCAATATTCCCACTTGATCCTTTGTAATAAACGATCCATAGGTAAAGATAAACGTGGTCTGATTATGTGTCTTTTATGCCACTATGAGCCGTACCAATCTCCTTTGCCGCACTGAGTTGTTTTTTGGCAGAAACAAAGCCAAGAAAGCTCCAAAAAAACCTATCAATGTTAAGTACAACTAAATGGGGTTAACATCCAATTATTTTATGCTAAGATGTGTTTAATTTACTAATATAACTCGGATAACTACTAGCCGCGGCACACATTTGATGTGCCCCCTTCTTCAGACGTAATCTTTGATTTTCTTGATTCATTAATTTTAACAGAAAATTTTTGTCACCACAAAAAAAAAAAAAAAAACGGACAATGCTTGACTCCTTACATACCTACCAATTACTGTGTGATACATATTCAAAAGTAACTCATTAACATTACAAAGGGAAAAAGTTTATGTATACATGTTAGACTGTGATTTGTCCATAAGAAGGAATGACTCCTTACATGTAAGGAGCCAAGTAATTTCCTAGAAAAACTACAAATTTAGAGAGACAATTTTTTCCTTTAATGTAAAGACTCGCATAATATTGAGATTTTAGAGTTGCATTATTAATTTTTAAATTTTTCCGTCATCAGGCTAGGGTTCAAACTTAAGACATTCGAATTTACTGCTTGTCCATACTTACCTTTTACCACTAGACCATCTAGGTTAAATTTCCTTTATCTTTTTTTGATGGGATTTGACTCTTGTGACGGCAAATCCTTTGTCAATATTCCCACTTGATCCTTTGTAATAAACGATCCATAGGTAAAGATAAACGTGGTCTGATTATGTGTCTTTTATGCCACTATGAGCCGTACCAATCTCCTTTGCCGCACTGAGTTGTTTTTTGGCAGAAACAAAGCCAAGAAAGCTCCAAAAAAACCTATCAATGTTAAGTACAACTAAATGGGGTTAACATCCAATTATTTTATGCTAAGATGTGTTTAATTTACTAATATAACTCGGATAACTACTAGCCGCGGCACACATTTGATGTGCCCCCTTCTTCAGACGTAATCTTTGATTTTCTTGATTCATTAATTTTAACAGAAAATTTTTGTCACCACAAAAAAAAAAAACCCCACAAAAAAAAAAAAAAAAAAAGAGGAAAGAAACAAAATCCGGATGTGGAAAATAGATTCTGGGGAAAGCTAATGGGATCATGACGGTCGTTTCGAAGCTATTTGTTGGAGAAATCAGATTTTGAGCGGTTTTGTTTATGCTGGGAGTGGTTGACCTTTGCTGTCAATGTTCCCAGCCTAGGTAGCTTGATTAATTAAAAAAATAGCAAATTCATATCCTAATTAGCAACTTCTGTATTTTAAATGTTTCATTCTTATTACAAATTCATGTTAATCTTGTTGAGAATTAGATTTGGGAGAATTAGATTTTCTTGGCCGAATTAGGAACTTTTCTCTTTTTTTCAAAATTTTCGATAGAATCAATTAGGGTGGACACTGTCCGATTTGATCTGCTTTACACTAAAACCAACAACCAAACCGAATAAAATAACTAGTGTTATGTGGTTCATTCTTATTAAAAATTCAATGGGTTTGTGTTAAGGTCCATCTCATTTAAGAAGTACATTGTTATTTTATTTAGAGCAAAAGTGCTTATTATTTTATTTAGAGCAAAAGTGCTTAAATGTCCGGAATGTTTTTTTACCCTAATTTGTTGTAGAGTCGAGTTAGGAATTTGTGGTAATTGAGGCATGATAAAAAAAAAGCTCTTACAAAGAAAAACTCAACAATGCATTTTATGTTCGACCTTCCCTTGGGTGCTCCTTTCAATAGTATGATAAAAATCATTGATAAAATACTTAAACACTACGTGTGTTACTGCAAAATATACGAAAATACATGTATTATTCGTGGAAGATATGTACGTATGCATACATACAATATACGTGTATCATATGCAAATCTACTAACTGGGCTTCTAACCATTGGACTCACTTTCTTTCAAGCTGTCGATGTGTCAAATGGGCCCTACCTCTTCATGCCTAAGTCCAAGAGGCCTAAAGCCTTGAGCCCCAAACGTCAACTGGATTTTAATGTCGAGCTTTGAGTTGTGCAATTTTGTGGTCTCACTATTCATGTTCGTAAAAATAAATAAATAAATAAATAAATTCTAGAGATTCACAAATAAATGAGAGAGCACCATAATCGTGGATTAGTGGGACCTTAATTGCCGCGCATCTTCCTAAGTAAATTAATAATTACGTTAAAATAGGAAAAGTTTTGCGCAGACACACAGCCGCCATTTCCACTAACTCTCTTCCTCTCCACGTGTCCCTTCATTATAAGCCCCTCTCTTTAACCGATGAATTAAAACCTATAAAAAATTAAATTTTAATGAGCGCAAGAACCAAGCAATGATTTAATTTAAAGGCAGCGTAACAGCTCTATCTCTTCCACTAATCCAATGATTACCCAACTTAATCCGTACCCATGATTCAAAATCCCATCATTATAAATTTTCTCTCAGAAAAAAAAAAAAGTAAAAGAAGAGGAACCATCAACCAAATATTTATAGCTATCCATTGCTGCTATAACTATATAATTAGCTCTACATTTCCATGCTCATTAGCTTTGTGGGTTAATTAGTGTGTGTGATTAGTGACTAATCATGGTTATTATGGGAGAGGCAGGGGAGGGCTTGTTGGTGATTAGAGAGTTGGACTTGAACAAGGACACAAGAAGTGTGGAAGAGTTAGAGAGGAAGTGTGAAGTTGGTGGTTCTTCGTCTGGCAAAATGTCTCTCTTTACTGATCTTTTGGGTGACCCAATTTGCAGGATTCGAAACTCACCCTCCTTCCTCATGCTGGTGTGTGTGTGTGTAAAGCATTATTAAATTCCATTTTTGTTTTCTTTTTTGTGTTTTATTTAATTTAGTTTTCACTTTTATTACCTTGTTAATTGGTCTTTAATGGGGTTTGTTTTGTGGTTATAATATTAATCAGGTGGCTGAAATGGGTCCTGGCAAAGAAATGGTTGGGGTCATTAGGGGTTGCATCAAAATCGTTACTTGTGGCAAAAAGCTCATAAGAAGTAACAATGGAATTGCAAACTCTAGCAACGAAGATTCTGATTCCAAACTCGAACCCATTTGCACCAAATTCGAACCCATTTGCACCAAACTCGCTTATATTCTCGGCTTACGAGTTTCTCCTTCACACAGGTACATATATATATTCTTGTTCAAATAATCTTACATGTACCAAATTGTGGACCACAATCACGAATAAAAACATGACTACATGTAACATGTTACAAAATATGACACAAATAGTTTGCTTTTAGCAATTACTTAATTTTGACAAAATTTAATTTAATTTAATTTGGTTCCAATGGCTTATGATCTTCTGCAGGCGAAGAGGTATTGGGTTGAAGCTTGTTAATCAAATGGAGGAATGGTTTACAAGAAATGGAGCAGAGTATTCATACATGGCAACTGAAAATGACAACAAGCCTTCCCTCAACCTCTTCACTAAAAAATGCCACTACACAAAGTTTCGTACCCCTTCAATTTTGGTCCAACCAGTATTTGCTCACCGAGTCAAAACTCACAACCGAGTCACCATCATCAAACTCAGCCCTCCAGACGCCGAGGCCCTCTACCGCTCCCGATTCTGCACCATCGAGTTTTTCCCACAGGACATTGATGGGGTTGTGAAAAACAAGCTCAATCTTGGCACGTTTTTGGCCGTACCAACCGGGTTTCCGTGGCCTGGTTTGGCCGAGTTTCTGTCTGAACCGCCCGAGTCATGGGCAGTTTTAAGTGCATGGAATTGTAAGGAGGTGTTTACTTTGGAAATCAAAGGCGCGTCGGTTGCACGGCGTTTTGCGGCGAAGGCCACGCGCGTGGTGGACAGAGCATTGCCTTGGCTGAGGATCCCTTCGGTACCTGAGGTTTTTAGGCCTTTTGGGTTGGTTTTTCTCTATGGTTTGGGAGGACAAGGCCCACGCTCGGGTAAGATGGTGGAAGCGCTTTGTGGCCACGCGCATAACATGGCTAGGGAATTGGATTGTGGGGTGGTGGCGACTGAGGTGGCAAGTCAAGAACCGTTGAGGTTAGCAATACCACACTGGAAGACACTATCATGCGCCGAGGATATGTGGTGCATCAAGAGACTAGTGCAGGATTATAGTGATGGGCCTATTGGAGACTGGACCAAATCTACTCCTGGGCTTTCAATTTTTGTTGATCCAAGAGAGTTTTAGTAAAATGACCAACCAAAAAAAGAGAGGCAAATTTTGTAGTTTTTAGTGTTAATATTGTAGTTTTAGGGGAATATTAGCAACCTTCTCCAGCCTAGTAATGGTAGTATAATTGAGCGAACTCTTTTGTATCTGTAGGTCTAAATTTTGTTTAATCTACTTTTTCTAATATTTGAGTCCAAAAGTGGGACCTTGTAAGATAAGGTCCCATAATTTCATTAGTTTCACGTCATGTGAGAGAGTCGGGAAAAAAGTTGAAAAGATTCGGTGTATGGAAATTTTCTTTACGGTATTGGGCATTTTATATTGTGAAATCAGCATATGACATGCCTGCTAAAGCTCACCACTGAACAATTTCCTATATGTAAAGAGAGAAATGTTTTCTTGCTAGACATACCAAAACATCTTATAAAAGATTTTGACAAGTGAACATTTAGGTATGAGAGTTTGAACTCTTGACAATTGCATCACCAGTTGCATTCTCTAGGTAATCATTTTCTCACAACCTGTGATTTTTTTTCTGCAAGTACAACAAAAACACTTCTTCCAAACTATATGTACTTCACTTTTGCTCAAGTAAAAGACCACCAAGTCTTTTTAAGTTGCTAAGATCATAAAGAGAGATGCCCGAAAATTTCCGACCTATTTCTGTGCCAATTAGTTCTACTAGGAAACCGAATGCCTCCGATTTCTGGAAGGTGTGGATTTAGCCTCTTCAGGATTAGCAGAACCAAGGCTTTCAGATGAATCAGAACCACTATTCTCACCTTGTACCCCTTTGCTTGACCAAAGCTTTGCAAAAACCTTCCTCTTTGACTTAAGTAACCCTCTCATTTTACTGACTGCCGCCTTGTCAACACTGCCTTTGCCATCTCCATTCTTCTCACCCCCTCCCACACCACTGCTCAACCTTAAGGAAGCTAGCTCCCCCTTTAGGGCCTTAAGCTCTTCAGCCGAGGCCACTGCATCCCAATCCTCCTCTGTGTTGGTTGTCGCAGATCTTGAGCTCCCATGGGACCCATTGTTTAAATCCTTCATGCCCTTAGGTAGGTCTGGAGTGCTGCTGCCTGATGAAGCAGCTGCCCTGACTTGCTCAAAAAACAGTACCTGCACAACTACACGCAATGGAAGTCTCTCATTTTGCACGGCATGCATACACGCATCAACTGATAGCTTTTTGCAGTCCATCAGCTTGCATATCCTCTTCCTCTCACTCTTGCTGATCCCCGGGTGCTCCTGCATTATAGAACGCCAGAGTTTGAAAAATACTTCATCACAACACTAACAAAATACAACACAAAAGCACTCAGGAGAAAAGAATTTTTATTCTAAGCTCTTACCTTAAGATACATATCAATGGCTCGGTAGAGCCCATCATGAGAAGGCTGAGAGAAACCTCGCACCATCTCCGCAAGATCAACAAACTTCAACAAGGGTAGGTGGGGATCCTTTGAAATTTCAGCAAGATACCCATCTACCAGTTTTGCCACCATCAACTTAGAAGCATCCGACAAGATCCCCGGGCTTCTCACCTCCTGAAGCTCATGGCGTTCTTCTAGCGATTCAATCTCTGCACTCTGATCTTGCCTTAGGAACTCTTCAACAATTTTTTGGACTACAGTAACATCATAAATTGTAGGTTCCCTTTCTGCTGCTCGTATCAGAAGATCATTTACAGAAGCCTCCTCCAGTTGCTGCCCTATTCTCCTTACTAGCTCTCCTTTAGTCACGTCTCCAGAGTCCACAAAAATAGCTGCTTTTAACATTTTGAGCAAGAAACTACAAGAGACACCACCTTTCTCTTCAGGCAACAGCCAGACAATTGTATCCACTGTTGATCGATGCTTTGCCATATCTCCACCCTGGATCATACCTTTGCTAAAGCCTGGAAACCTTCTGTAAGCATAAGCTTTCAAGGCTTCTCCTATCACTTCAGCAGAAAGTACTGCTTTGGTTTTGATATTCGTTAGAACACGCTTGTATAAATCAATCTCAAGCTCACACAATTCTTCAACCCACCAGTCCTTTGGAACTGGACGATTTCTAACACCGTTCCAATTGGGATCATTCCCATTTTCCTCAGGGATCTTCTTCCGATTATAGGTATAGGACCAGTCAACTTGTGAAACATCAACACAGGCCTTGGTAGCTATAGAGTCAATGCATTGGCTGACCAACTTTAGTTCCTCAGATATTGGTAAAAGAGACTTTGTAGTCTGAAGAACAATGATTGAATCCTTCCAGCTCCGGAAAATGCTAGAGCTAAGGAAGACATCAATCTTGTAAATGAGATTTCCTTTCTCAATAGACTCATGCATTCCCAGATATTCAGCAGCACATCGAGACACAACAACATTGTAAGCATTGAGAGTGACAGTCATGCCATAACAAAACTTGGCACATATCTCAAAGGCAGCAGGGCCACCTGGAATGTCAGAAATGTAAATTTCGCCAGTGTTTGATTCGTTAGTGTTTGCAACCAACTTCTGCAAGCGTGCACTCTTTGATAGAAGAGGAAACTGCATAAAAGATTATCACTCTGATCAGTATCACAAGACATTTATCTGTAGCCACACAGCAGATTGCAGTTAAAATTTGAGATGCAACAGAGCTGTGTTAAGTTAAGTTTGCCAACGCTTTATCATCCCTTGACTTTCAATTGAGTGTAACATATATATCATGCTCAACATTTAGATAATCAATGGTCTGCCAGTCTCTATAAAATCATAATAATTCATCAAGTGATAAGGCATTTGTCAAGTATGAACAAAGCAGGTATTAAAATAATATTTCAACTAGTTATATCTTGTAGAAGATAAACGTTCAGTTTATCTTTATCAGACAACAAGTTGAGAACACCCATAATTTCTTATGACTCTTACAAGCCTTGCTCCTCTTTTACATAGCTCATAATTTTGGTAGCTAAACATATCTGTATTTGTTCTGGTTGCTTTCCAATATGAGCACTAACAAATTCTTGACTATAGATCGCACCACTTGAAAATTCAACATACAAGGCATGTCACTGGGCAACCATGTATTTCACCATAAAATGAAAAATGGTGAGTGTACCTTATGCAGATAAAACTTTGAATCTCCAACATTAACAATGATGTCTGTTGCCAAATCAGTAGCTACAAACCTGCATATATGGAGGTTCGTTTAAAGTGTTAGTAAGGACTCTTCATAATAGGTACACCATAAAATAAAAGGAGAGGAAGACCTAGGTACAAATACAATTAGTGCTCGCAATATGCAATTGAAACTCAACCTTTTTTCTTTCCTAAAATTTATTCTGAGCCCCATCACTTTTTCTTTCCTAAACTCACTGTTAATGCACAAGAGTGACCAAGCTGTAAAGCTACATAGTTTATTGTATGAGAGCAGTCATCAATAGAGATTTGAGGTTCTAGCTATGCCATGTCAATGAAGAAAAACAACTCTAATCATACTTTGCTTTTCTTTTCAAGGACTAGGAATGAAATGACAGAGACTGCTAAATATATACTCAACTAAAAATAATACAAGTGATAGCCAACGTTTTTTTTAATGACCATTCATGTACCTTAACAGCTTAGAGCATCTACAATCACGCTCTCTATTTTTTTAGTTAAAATTTAGCTAAAAACACACAAAAGTTATTTTAGGAGCTCTCTATAAAATTTGAACTCCAATCATACTCCATAATTTAGAGAGTCATAAATACTATAGTTATTTTTTAATTCAATACGATTGGTCCATCTCTATAAAAAAATAATATAAATAAAGTTTAAACTATGCATAAAACAAAGCAGCGTTAAATTATAGGGAGCCACTAGTAGTCCTTTCTCTCTCCTCAGATTTAGGAGCTCCTAGAGGTCTTCCTATTTTAGGAGGTGGATAGGGAGCATGGTTGGAGTTGTATTTTTCCAATTCCTCACTAAAATGTGTATAAGGAGATGATTTAGGGAGCCCATTGTGGATGCTCAAAAGCAGTCATAGGTGATGTTAGCAGGGACTCTTGATGCATTTATTCAAGGAAAGTAATTTGAATTTACTTTTCAATATTATGCCCACCCAAGTTGCATGGCAAAGTACCAGCTTCAATTCATAATAAATGATACCTTCCACAGGGCTAAATATAGATTGGATTTAAAAGCCCTCCCTCAATCAAAAGATTGATTGGCTAAGATACAAAAGTACAATTCATTCTCTCGTATCCTTCATAAGGCTTTTGCAAGACATTTAATTTGCATTTCTACATTTTGTGTACTTTTGACACAACTTTATAATTCTCATTGGTTTTCTATATATTATCCTGGTTTTTAAAACCAGATATATAAATCCTCATTTAATCTAAGAGAACCAATAGCAAATAACAAATAATGTGTGGTGATCTGCTTATGAGAGCTATGAGAGCACCAATAAATACTATATTGACTAAACAAGATGGATAACACCAATGATTCTGAGGTTTAAATAAAGTTGATCATAGAGCAAGTGGTAGATTCAATAAAGGTTCTCTTCATATGGCCCCACTAAGAGAACTATGTTTCCATGTACTAAAACAAAGACAAAAGAAAAGAGAGCAGAGTTGATACCAAATCATAGAATAAGAACAATTTTATGACAAGAGTGCAGGAGAAAATGACAAGAAATGAAAAAAAGGATGAAAAAATTTACTGTCCAATTTTTCAGTAACCAGATGGCTGCTCAAAATGAGTGGGCACAGGCACTATCCGTGAGAAGAAAAACCCAAATTTATCCAATATGAACAGAAAAACCAGTTAAAAATGATACAAAAAATTATACCGGCAGGTTTATGCAATAGGAACTGATATGCACGAGACACAATAGCAAGAAAAATAATACAAAATGATGATTGAAGAACGAGGTAGAGCATAAAGGAGGCCCTAGATGATCTCACCTAACATTATTGCCATCAGTCTGAAAGGAATCCGGCTTCGATCCAAGTTTCATAAACTTCATCTTGGCAAGCAAACAATCTGCTTCTCCTTCACTTCCCCAAAACAAAACTTCCTCGCCACTCAACCTGTCACTGCTTAATCAAATGCTTCACACCTTGACCACCACACATCCCGAATAATATTGCATCTCAATCGAGGAAAAGTTGCTGGAAATGGAAAGGAAGACACCAGGAGTAGGGGACCAGATATAGATATCTGAATGCAACCAACTTCCTGGGCTTCGAGAGAGAAAAGAAAGATCTCAAAGAGGGGAAGGTTATATGTATGCAAGGCAGGGTATGACCGAATCTTGACAGGGACCAAGGCAGTCTAAGAGAGAGAGAGAAAGAAAGGCAAAGTGAAGATGGGTTTTATGCAATTTTTTAAGAAAAGGTTCTCTTGAATGGCAAGAGAGCCAAAGAAGAGGGTGTTTCCTTGGTCGGCGGCAAAGCCCACGGAGTCCGGGTGCACCAAGTCAGCTCAGGGGACATAGCCAACAGACTCTCAACACTAAATAATTATCAAACACCAGAGACACTCACAAGCACAAATCTGACTCCACCACACTCCCCCACTATTTCTTAATCTTTCTCTTCTGATTACTCTGTTCCTTTGTTCCTTTTTAAAAGCTAATTAAAGATTCATGCCACCAAGACCTCTTAGACGCCTTTAAAGCTTCAAGTTCCAAACCCAACATGTACACATCAATTAACACTTAATTTATAGATTAGTTTTACCGTTGAAGTTTGAAAACCTGCAACTGAAAACAGCATCTCGGTATCAGTTGAAGAAACCACCAAAACGGTAGACAACAAGCATCTCTTTTTATTTGGGCAAAGTATGGGAATAAATTAGAAAGATCACAAAATAAAGTTATTATAGTAAATGGACAACCAAACATCAACTTACCAACAAAAAAAATTAATACAAAATTGGACTGAAATCTGAGGAATCTACCAGAATATATCACAGAAAATCTAGTAAAATAATGAAGCCAAGATACATATTATGCTGTATAAGTAAAAATCTTTAAAATCCCACATGAAGAAATAGGCAAATAATCTAAGGACAATCCGCAAAAGCCACTCTCCGTGTACACCCCCACAAAACCCAAGACCTATTCATCAAATCTACAGAACTATACAGTAGTACCAACTAATATCATCTACTTGCAATTTGAAAATAGAAGAACCCAGTTCAAGTTTGAGTGCAATCAGCCCAAACCAAGCCTAGAAATCCAAAAAACAAAACCAGAACCAAAGAAAGTGCAGTGTGTGTGTGTGTGTGTGTGTGTGT